CAGGGTTTACCTCTCCATGACCCTCTGGCACAACCACCAGCCAATCTGTCAAACCAGTAGGGACTCGGCTCTCACTCGCCTATCTACTCCCATCTTCCTTGCCAGTCCCTCATAGCTAGGTTGGTACAATCAAGGCAGGCCTCTCATCAACCCAGCCCCCTTGGGTGCAGGCAACATCAGGTCTGTCGTGCTTCCCTAGAGCAAGGCATGAAACTGTGCCCTGTGACAGCTCATCCAACACAATCAATGTTGCTTTTCAAAGTCAGGTGGGATACAAGAGCCTATAGTAGTATCTGTAGAGGCAGCTAATGGGGGCTTAAAGGATAGGTGACCACCAAAGAGCATTACTGCCCCTTACAGAAAATACCAGAGGAGAAGGCCATCTCTCTGTCTTTGTTGGCTAGGATACAGGCCTCATGTTAGGGTGCAGATTCCACATTTTCAGAATCCTTAACATTTTCCTGCTCAGCAGGTGAAGTGTTTTGTTCAACCAATTCATCTGCCCCTTTCACTTTGCTCCAGGACAGAAAAAGAAAAAAGAAGACCAAGGCAGGCGAGACAACACGAACGAGGAGATAAACCGAAAAGATGCCAAAGACAGCAGGTCTGGGGGCAAGAGGAGGAAAGGCCAACTAAGGGGAACGGTTGTGCCAGTGACTTCTGCTCAGTAGCTGTCCCTCCACAATGGTGCGATGGCAAAACTTCATTGCTGCTATGTACATGGAAACTTTAGTGAACCAGGACACTGCACCATGGCACCACAAGAGACACAGCTGGACTCAGTCCACAGGCACCAGCCCACATCTATTCAACATGTATCTGAAACATGCCTGTTCCTTGGGAGAGCAACGAAGGACTCTCCTGGGTGACCCATAAGCACCACGGGCTTTCTGCTGGGATATTAAGGGGAAAAGAATATTTCCAGCCAGAAGAGACGGAACATCCCCAGCTGAAGTGACTGGGACAGAAGCGAGTTTCTGATGCAGAGGAGGAGACTGGAAGCCACTTGTTCGAAGCCTGGAACTGCACAGCCATTGCTTTTGTGTCTCAAGCTATGTTGTTGATAATATATTTTAAATGTTTGTGATAAACATTCAAAACATTTCAGAATAAAAAATGCTGAAACAGTCAAATGTTTGCAGATCATCTTCCATCTCCTGTACTCAGAAAAGTACAGAATTAGGAAGAGACAAGGATGGCGGGGATCTGAACTGCTTTCTTACAAGGAGTTAAAGGAGGGCTGAAATAAAAACAATGTGGGGGAGAACTGCTTGAAGCCTTTTTAAAAAGAAGACATCATACCCTGACCTGAATAGCCCAGGCAAGCCTGCTCTTGTCAGATCTCGGAAGCTAAGCAGGGTACTTAGATGGGAGACTTCTTTGGAATACCAGCAGTTGGGAGGTGGGGGCAGGTTTTATTCAGCCACCTCTCTGAATATCCTCCAAGCCCCCAGCAGGGGTCAGTCACCAGAGGTTGCAATGATTTCCAGGTGCACACACACTCACATGCACACAGGGAAAAAATACAATAAATAAATAAAAAGAAGACATATAAGGATCACAGTCCCTTGTCTATGTGGCAACATGGCGGGGGGGGGGGCAGTTTTCACAGACTATAGCATCTTCCTATGGAAAACGCTATGGATCTCAAATCTAATGAGATTCACAGAAGGATCAGCACTGCTTAGTGGTTGGAGTGATAGACTAGGATTTGGGAGACTCTGGTTCAAATCCCTACTCTGCCATGGAAGCTCAGTGGGTGAGCTCAGGTCAATCACTCTCAGCCTAACCCTGACTCACAGTCCTGTTTTTGTGAGAATATGGTGAGAATAAAATGGAGAAGGGGAAAAGATGTTGTAAGCCACTTTGGGTCCCCATTGAGGAGAAAAACTGGGTGTAAAGAGATGAAACTCAGAAGGGGCCATCTCAAGCCAGTCACTCTGTTACCTAATCTACCTGGTAGGGTAGCTAAACTCTGAGAAGGAGCAGGAGATAGAGCTGCTAGAAGGGTGAGTGTTTTTTATTTACTTTCAGCTGAGGTGATTTTAGCTGAGAGGGTACTGTGTGGGGAGTGTGTGGGGGAGTTGTGAGTTGTTGCAGAGTCCTGGCTGCTTGAGATAGGGTGTGAAAAGGTCATCCTTTGGCTGTAATTGAATGCCTGGGTGAATTTGAATAGCTGCTGGCCACACCCTCTGCTGGGGGAAGCTTCTATTTTAGGCAGCACCTTGCCAGAGAGCCGAAGGGCTCTTGGCCTGTGGCTCTTAGCTTAGGGACTCTTAGACTAGGGACTCTGTAAGAAGCCCAGGAAGAGCCAGAATGCCAGAGCCCTAGTCTCCTTGGGTTCCCAGTAAGGTAAGTAAACTTCTACAAGGAGAACTACATAAATACAAAGGGTTTTAAAAGGGGGATTATATATAATTATTATTTTAAAAGCAATTATGAAGCCAGAATGCCAGCAGGGGGTTGGGGGCTATACAGTGTTTTGCACGGAGTATCACTATCTGCCCACTTGTCAGAAGTCTTGGGTGTGTGCCCGGTGCAAAGAGTTCCTGGTTCTTAGGGAACAAGTTTGCTCCCTTGAGGCCAAGGTGGCAGACCTGGAGAAGCAGAGACAGTCAGTTAAGGCACATGGAGAAGACTCTCGAGGACTTGTTAGATATGTCCCACTCTGAATATGGCAGCCCCGCCACTGTCAGGGAGCATGAGTGTCAAGGGGAAACAGGGCACCATGCTGCGGATAAGGGTAATGTGCCCTCAGAAGGGACCTCTTCTTCAGCTGGTGAACGGGTATCCTTTGCACCAAGGAACCATCCCTTGGCAGGGAGGGAGGGAGGGGGGCTCTTGGTAGTTGGTGATTTGATCTTTAGGCAGGTAGACAGCTGGGTGGCAAACCCGCGTACTGACCGTATGGTGACTTGCCTGCCTGGTGTGAAGGTAGCGGACATTATGCGTGTTGTAAATAGGCTGGTAGATAGTGCTGAGGAGGAGCCAGTGGTCGTGGTACATGTTGGCACCAACGATGTGGGGAAATGCAGTTGTGAAGTCCTGGAGGAAAAAAATAGGCTGCTAAGCAGGAAACTCAAGGCCAGAACCTCCAAGGTAGCCTTCTCAGAAGTGCTACCTGTTCCACGCACAGGGCTGGAGAGACAGGCACAGATCAGGAGTCTCAATGCGTGGATGAGACGATGGTGTAGGGGCGAAGGGTTCAAGTTTGTTAGGCACTGGGATGCTTTTTGGAACAAGAGGGAGCTGTACAAAAGAGCTTGTCCAGAGCCTCCACTTGTCCCAAGAAGAAACCAGGCTGTTGGCGCTTAAAATCAAAAAGGTGGTAGAGCAGTTTTTAAACTGAATACTGGGGGAAAGCTGACAGGAGATGAAAAGTCTCTGGTTCAGGATGGCTCATCTCAAAGATTACTTTTCTACAAGGAAATGGATTAGAATTGTCCACTGAGACTGTGGCTGGCAAGGTCTCGAGGCAGCAAGAGGAAGGTTGTGGGCTTAACATGCATGGAAACTATAGGTGTTTATACACAAATGCTAGAAGTGTCTGAGGTAAAATCGGGGAATTGGAATGCTTGGTGTTGGGGGGGGGAATAGGCATTGTGGGTATTTCAGAAACTTGGTGGGATTAGGAAAATCAGTGGGATACGGTGATTCCTGGTTATAAATTATATCGGAAAGATAGGGGGGGAAGGGTTGGAGGTGGGGTGGCTCTGTATGCCAGAGAGGGTATACAGTCCAATAAGATTGAGAGGGTAAGAGAATTGGATTCACTTCTGGAAATGTTATGGGTTGAAATAGTGGGCCCAAAAGGAAGCTTAACACTGGGAGTTTGTTACCGCCCACCAGATCAAAAGATAGAGGAGAATTATAAAATGATGAATGAATTAAAGATAGCAGCTAGATGAAACAATTGTGTCGTAATAGGTGATTTTAACTACCCACATATTGATTGGGTCAATATGTGTTCAAGTTGGGGAAAAGAGACTGAGTTTCTAGACACTCTCAATGACTGTGCTATGAAACAGATGGTCACAGAACATACCAGGGGAGAGGTGATCCTGGATTTGGTCCTAAGTGTTGGAAAATTGGTCAAAAATGCTTAAATTGTTCAGAGTGTCAATGGATCTTGCTTCACTAAATGAGGAGTCTTTCTTTATGTTTAAAAAAAGACTATTTCTAAGGGTAAAGGGTATACAGGAAAATTACAAATAAAACATCTAAGAGCTATATTTCTGCTGCTTACTTCTCAAAGCATAATCACACACTTCTCAAACAATGGTGGACAAACACCTTCTCGACCCCTAGAAAGGATGTCACCTGAAAACAGTAACGAATCATTATTTGTAAACACACTCAGATTCGCGAGCTTTTTCCACATTGGCTTGTCTGCCAGGTTTTCCTTCCAGGTCAGTCTAGAAAATAGCATAGAAAGGTAAACAAGTTAACCCTATAATGGCTGGAATCTGAGACCCTTGCAAACACATACATTTCCAACACTAAGTAACACCCAAGACCTGGTGAGAGATGTAAAAATGATTGCACCACTTGGGAACAGTGACCATAATGTTATTGAGTTTAACATTTGTATAAATAGGGAGTTGCCCATAAAGACTGACACAACCACTTTTAACTTTAAAAGGGGTAACTTCTCTGATACGAGGGGACATGTGAGGAGGAAACTGAAATGAAAAGTAGAAAGGGTCAAAACCATTGGGGAAGCTTGGAGACTATTTAAAACAACAATCCTAGAAGCTCAGAAAAAATATATACCGCAGGTTAGGAAAGGCACAAATAGGTATAGAAAAAAGCCTGCGTGGTTAACAAACAAAGTAATGGAAGCTGTAAAAAGTAAGAAGGATTCCTTTAAGCAGTGGAAAGCTAGTCTCAGTGAGGTTGATAAAAGGGAATACAGGCTGTGGTAAATAAAATGCAAGTCTGTGATTAGGCAGGCAAAAAGGGAATATGAGGAGCATATAGCAAAAAACATAAGGACCAACAATAAAACTTTCTTCAAATACATTAGAAGCAGGAAACCAGCCAGGGAGGCAGTGGGGCCCTTGGATGACCAAGGGGTAAAAGGGGTACTGAAGAATGATAGGGAAATGGCTGAGAAGCTAAATGCATTTTTTGCCTCTGTCTTCACTGTGGAAGATGAGAAGTGCTTGCCCACTCCAGAACCACTGATTTCGAGAGCGGTGTTGAAAGACCTGAGTCAGATTGAGGTGACAAGAGAGGAGGTCCTACGACTGATAGACAACTTAAAAACTGATAAATCACCAGGCCCAGATGGCGTACATCCGAGAGTTCAGAAAGAACTCAAATGTGAACTTGTGGATCTCCTGACAAAAATATGTAATATTTCACTAAAATCTGTCTCCATTCCTAAGGACTGGAAGGTAGCTAATGTCACTCCCATCTTTAAAAAGGGTTCCAGAGGAGATCCGGGAAATTACAGGCCAGTCAGTCTGATGTCAATATCGGGTAAAATGGTGGAAACTCTTAATTAAGGAAAGAATTAGTAAGCACATTGATGAACAAAAACTATTGAGGCAGACTCAGCATGGGTTCTGTAAGGGAAGATCTTGTCTCACTAACCTATTAGTGTTTTTTGAGGGAGTAAACAAACATGTGGACAAGGGGGACCCAACAGATGTTGTTTACCTTGATTTCCAGAAAGCTTTTGATAAAGTTCCTCTTCAAAGGCTTCTAAGTAAGCTCAATAGTCACAGGATAAAAGGACAAGTTCTCTTGTGGATCAAAAACTGGCTAATTAATAGGAAACAGAGTATAAATGGGAAATTTTCTCAGTGAAGGGTGGTAAGCAGTGGGGTACTGCAGGGATCAGTACTCGGTCCAATGCTTTTTAACTTGTTTATTAATGATTTGGAGTTGGGAGTAAGCAGTGGCTAAATTTGCAGATTTTATTTATTTATTTATTTATTTATTTATTGTATTTATATCCCGCCCTCCCTGAAGTTGTTCAGGGTGGTGAGAACCAGGGAGGATTGTGAGGCACTCCAGGGA